ATCCATTGCATGTAGTGCCACCTATGGTAACTATGTACAAGTACTATGCCATATATGCTTCGACTACTCGAATTACTGCTGCAACAATGGATCTATGCTAGAGCCGTTATTGTTGCTCCTTTCATTTCTTTCATACGCGTTTCGTGACGTCTCCGTCGTCGAGTAGTTACGTAGCCTGCCTGTACGTGCTGCGATTCGTGCTGCGCTCTCACTTCCTTAAACGTCTTACTCCAAACTCTTTTATACAGACACAACCACTCGAAGAAAACAATATATCGACATGTATAGCTCATGTACTCAACATTAAAAACGTACAATACAATTACGGAAACATATCATTTTTGAAACAATTACTCACTGCCATCCGATTAGACTTACTTGGATCAGATTTTGAAAATACGTCCATGTCTACCAGATTCCTGAAAAGATGAAAAATGACAGATGTATGTCGTCCAAAAACATTATCGCCAATTGTGAATGAATGTGTAGGCTCGGACGAATTATAAAACACACAAGAATCATATATATGCCACGCCTACACGTACCCAAGCCTGAAATTTAAAAAAGTTAACCAATTTTTAAAAAAAAAAACCCATAATTTAACTGCTGCATGTGTCCCATGGCGTCATTTATTAGAGCTTCCCCAGCCAAGGAGTTTGTTACGCCCCTGTATTAGTGCAGGAGTGCAAATTAACGGAGTCGGGGTCAAATATCTCACTGATTTACTGTCGAGACTCCCTGCATTATGCACATATTGCAGGAGTCCGTATGCACTCCCTGAAAATTCTTGCCATCTAACTAGTCGCCTCGCAAGCACAGCCGCAGAATTAAAAAAATTTTTCATATTAGATAGTACCAGGGTACGTTCCGGTATACCGTACCCAGGGTACGTTCCGGCAGTATATATAGGGGTACATATATAGACCCTCTCAGCGTTACTAGATAAAGAGCAAGGCAATAGCTCAATGGGCGATGCAATCCGGCAAAGTGGAGCGAGGAAGTAGGGTGTAGGGTACGTGTGATGGCAAGCGCTTGCATGGTAACCACAACGATTGCACAGGAGGGCGGATTACGAGGTTTGTTCAGTCTGTTTATTTCCTTGCTAGTGTAGTCTCGCTCTGTGTCTTGCCAGTCTTGTCTTGTCGCTGACTTGCCAGTGTAGCCTTGCTGATAACTGTAGCCTTACTGATACTGATAAGTGTAGCTAAGCGTACCTAGCTTTGCTGTTGTCTTGTATGTCTAAGCGTTGCTGTTTCTTTTCCTACGAGGCCTTGTTTTTGTCTTGCGTGCTTACGCATTGCTACTGTCTTTTCTGTCTAACCCTGTTTTTGTCTAGCGTGTCTCAGCGTTGCTGTTGGCGTTGCATATCTATAGCCTCGCTTCATGGGAAGTTTTCTATGCATTGATATGGTATTCCGGAATTAATATCGAATGTTTGAGTTTATTTAATATCGAGTAGTATTTTAATCCTGTCTATACAGGCATCCTATTATACGTCTTCTAATGATGCAGGGATGAATCCCATACGTTATTCTAATTCTGTTAGGTACCTAATTGTGATTCTATGCATGCACTGCCTGCAGCAAATAGGTTGATGTATGTGAAGAGTTCAGAGTACAGGGCACACATGTGATAATATACCCCGTAGTCTTACGTTCCCCATCCTGGTAATACACGCGTTTTTACCTTTTTTTAAACCTTTTTTTTACCTTTTTACTTTTTTGCTCTTTATTGTAGCTAGTATTTGTTCTTGCTTCACCGTTTTATGATGATCACGCGTAAATCCATTGTGATTAAACAGGCAAAAACAGGCACAGCAGAAATAGTAATTAACTCAGTCAAAAGATCTACTGAGCTAAAAGATCTATAATGTTATATACCTTCGAAAGCCATATCCCGGTATTATTAACTTTTGATTTATTATAATTGTGTGTGTTCGTGGGTGTGGCGCGTGTGTCTGTGTGCGTGCGTGCGTGCGTGTGTGTGTGCACACACGACACACACAGAACACACACACACACCACACGACACACACACACACACACACACACACACACACACACACAGGATGTAGATCACGTGTTCGAATTCGGTGCGATCTATTTTTGTATATAGTGATAAAATACGAGTAAATGTCACTTATGTCAGCATACCGCGGGATATCGAACGCCGCAATGAATATATATATATATAACACTCTATCGTGTGTTCTCATGATTTATTCACGATAGCATATCACGCGCAGAGCAGACGACCGAGTAAAGTACGTATAGAAACCATGTTACAGCAAACATGGTTTATATTGATTATATATATGTATGTATATCGTGTAGTACGTCACGCAGGCACTACATACTAGCTGCGAATGCTATATTACCTCGCAATGGAGATTGTTCTCGCTTTATTCTGCTGTTCTCTCTCGCATGTTTTTTTGCGGTATATATTATATATCTTTCGGACTCAAAAGAGGGCGTTTGCGTCATATATATGTATCAAGAGCAGATAAAGAAGGGTTAGGGTTACCCTTCTTTATCTGCTCTTGATATGTATATATAGTAGTACATGCAGTCGGATCAAACATATGTAGCAGAGAGGTCGCTATTCTGTATCTTCATTCGGGCTCTACGCAATCTTCCTGCGAAACGTGAATGGATCGAAGTGTTTCAATTTATTCGGAATCCGACTCCACAGGGTTCATCGACAGTTCAATCATGCATAAGTGTACGTGGTAATGTAATGTACGAGCGAGTGTTGCGCAGAATGGGGTGAGCAAGCTAGGGGTAAATATAACTTCACATATTACCAGGAGATATTGCACTTATACTCAACTGTTAATTAGGTCATCCGCTGCGTCTAGCTGTGTTGTGTATTGTTATAGATTGTGTTTGTTTTTTTATACAGAAGCGTTAAAATGCGAGAAAGAGAGCGAACAAGCAACCGAGCGGCGGTGTGTACCAAGTGTGTATAAGGGCGAGAGAGAAAGAGAGAGAGAGAGAGAGAGAGAGAGAGAGAGAGAGAGAGAGAGAGAGAGAGAG